TTTTTCAGCACCATGGCCAGAGACAGCTGAAGTGTCTTCCATTCTTAGACTCCATAATAAGACATGAAATACTAAACATAAGGTTTTCTGACAAAATGATCATTGATTAAAAAATAGCACACACAAAAGAAGGTAAAACTAATTCACAAACTTCTGAGCTCAACCAAATCACTTTATGAAACAAAAACTTCAAGAGTGTTTTTTTTCCTGTTTTTTTTTCACACTGTTCACATATGTGAACACAGATTTTGTTAAATTTAAGAATGCACAAAAATTGCAAGAGTGTAAACAAACAAACAGAAGTAAAAAAGGAATATATGTGTCTGAAAATTATATGGACATAGTGGAGCAGTTTTCAGATGATGATACCATTTCTTTCATAATGAAAAGCTATTCTTTATGTGTTTGTTTTTAAAACCAAATCAACTAAAGGCATTACAGATGCCTCCATCCAAGCCAGAAGTATTATTGTYTTAATTATAAAACAACATCTCAGACATGATTAACTTAAATGAAAACATACATGAGTGTGTGTGAGACAGGCTTTTATGTAAATATAAAAATGAAGAACTGGAATTGTYTAACAGAGTATTTCTCATTAGAAGTATGCATTCTAAAAAGTAAAAGTGTGTTTGTTATTAGGTTTCAACTGTAAGTTCACATTTTCACTGTCAGTCATTCTGAATCATGATGCCAAGACATAGGATATTAGATCAAACAAAGGAAAAAAGCAAACCAACAAACTAACAAAATCAATTAGCAAACAAACAATTTAAAATGACTGAATGAAGAAGACATTTGTGATGTCATGTCTTACCTCCTCAGAAGTTTTCCTCCTGTCAGGTAACACCAGAGTGTTTGCATGACTTCCAGGTCCTATAGRAGATCCTATACTCATCCTGGGTCCAACTAACATGTAGCGTTTGTCTCCAGATCTGTACTGGATGCTGTGACACAGTGTCCCATCATAATTAGCCTCCTGCAGATATTTYGAAGTATAGTCTGTYGARTTGYAGCACTGCATTGCAATCAGCACGATGATGCTGATGAGGAACAGAACTGACACTGAGCCCAGAGTGATGATGAGGTAAAAAGTCACATTATTGTCCTCCTCATCTTTTGCTGCACTTTTCACATCAGAAGCTGCAAAAGCCTCTTTGGBCTCCACCAGTTTGACAATGACAGTAGCTGTTGCTGACAGGGACACGTTGCCATTGTCTTTGACCAGTATGAGCAGTTTATGCTCAGCCTCGTCTGTCTCTGTGAAAGAGCGAAGTGTTCTGATCTGTCCTGTGTAGCGGTCCAAACCAAACAGACTGTGGTCACTGACTTCCTGCAGTGAGAACAGCAGCCAGCCGTTATATCCTATATCAGCATCATAGGCTCTGACTTTAGTCACCAAGTGTCCTGCGTTCACGTTGCGGGGAATCTCCTCCACGCCTTCAGCAGAACCGTTGGAGCTGACTGGATACAGGATGACTGGAGRGTTGTCGTTCTGATCCAGAATGAACACGTTCACTGTCACGTTGCTGCTCAGAGACGGAGCTCCAGAATCTGTGGCCACAACTTGGAACTMGAAKGTTTTTAGAGTTTCAAAGTCGAAACTCTTCAAGGCCACTATATCTCCTGTTTCAGAGTTTATATTGAGGAATGATGTCACTTTATGTTCAGTGTCAGCATTCCTGTGAATGTGATACGAAATTGCTGCATTATCACCTTCGTCCCGGTCAGATGCGTGCACTGAAAACACAGACCCTCCTGGTTGGTTATTTTCAATTAKGTAGAAAGTGTAAGGGCTCTCTGAAAACCTGGGATTGTTGTCATTAATATCTGAGACACGTACATGTATTGTCTTTTCAGATGTTAATGCTGGTTCACCTGCGTCTTTTGCTATTATTGTAAGAMCATAGTTTGATTGCTGTTCTCTGTCCAAATGAGACTTGGTGACTACAGCAAACATGTGATCTTGAATGGATGGAGTTAACGTGAATGGACTTTCTTCAGCAACATAACTCATTATTTTGCCATTTATGCCAGAATCTGCATCGGTAATACTAATAAGCGCAACTGTTGTCCCGGGTCTAGAGTCTTCAGAAAATGTACTTGACAAGGAGGCTACCTCTATCTCAGGAGGATTGTCGTTTATGTCTCCTATTTGAATGACAACACTTTTRAAAGTTCTTATTGGAATCAGTCCTTTATCAGAGGCCTGTATATCAATCACATAACTGTCTTGCTTTTCATAATCAACTTGACCTTTGACACTTATTTCTCCAGTAACAGCATCAATATCAAACAGCTCCTTAATTTTATCTTTTACATCACTTCCAAATGAATAAACCACCTCTCCATTAGAACCAGCATCCAAGTCCGTTGCATTAACCTGAATGATTTTTGTGTCAACTGGAGCATTTTCTTGCAGCATGGCTGAGTATGTGTTTTTTGTGAACACTGGCATGTTGTCATTAACATCCAAAACATCAATGTATATTTCAGCCGTGCCTGTTTTTGGTGGAGTTCCGCCATCTATAGCTTTCAGCACTAATTTATGTCGACTTTTAGTCTCTCTGTCAAGCTGCTTCTGTAACTGCAAAACTGGAGTTTTTCCATCTCTCCCTCGATCTTTAATCTCCAACCGGAAATMGTCGTTTGGGCTAATTGTATACTGCTGCACTGAGTTTGTTCCGCCATCCGGATCAAATGCGTTCTGTAACTGATACTGTTCTCCAGGCAGAGCAGACTCAAATATCTCTATTTTCTTTGTTTTATCAAGAAACGTGGGAAAATGGTCATTTAAATCCGTTATTTCCACTGTAACATAGTGTATTTCTAGCGGGTTTTCCAGCACCGTTTTGAGATTAACCACACACGCATTGTTATCCTTACATATTTCCTCTCGGTCTATTTGTTGGTTAGAATACAGGGCCCCGTCATGTTCATTCAGCTTAAAACGAGGCTGGGTCGAGCCGGGCATAACACGAAATCCCCTCCGTTTCATCACGTTCACATCTATTCCCAAATCCTTGGCTAAATTCCCGACAAAACTCCCCTCTTTGAGCTCCTCGGGTATTGTGTATTTCAGCTGTGAGGAGGTTGCGCTGATGAAAGAAAACCAAATGAAAACGCGAAGCGTCGGTGATGACTGCCGCCATGAGTTCCGTTGTCTTTGTTTCATTTTGTGAGGCGTGGAAAAGAATCCCAGTGTGCACGTTATTCCCCGCGTTTCTGCAGTTGTATTTCCATCAAGGTAAAAATAATAAATATAATTAAAAATGTTCCTATTCCAAGAAATTTAAAAAACACAAAAAATATCCGTCAGGGTATTCCAAACCAGCCAGATAAATGCTCTCTACACGGACCGAAAAGAAAGACCTGCGCAAACTGGAGATCAACCCATACACACACACACACACACACACACACACACACACACAC